CCCACCTCCCCACTCCTAGGACGTTTGTGTTACTTTGCGGCCACCCAAGGAATCCTCTTTGGCATATGGCTTATATCCAATGGGCACTGTTCTCTGGACCTAACCCTCTGCTTCCAGATGTATCTAATTCTCTGTCCTGTTTCCTCACAGGTCTTCAAGCTGGGTGTGTGTGGATAACTCCCTTATCTTCAGGAGTAATTCTCCGTTTCCTACAAGAGTTTTCATGGATTCAAATGGAATTAGGCAGTTTTGTGTCCATGTGAACAACTGTAAGTAAAAACATGTTGACCGCTAAGTACCGTAGAAACTTTATTGCTTATTATTTATTGAGAATTGGCTTTGTCTCTGGCCTGATTCTTTTAAACGTTTTTTCTTTTAAAGTTTTATTCTTGGCCTGATTTTTCCTTTCTTTTTTCTATCTTTTAAAGTTTTATTCTTACCCTTGATTCTCTTTGGTTTTGTTTTTCTCTCTCACTAGTGAACATTTGCAATTTCTTATTCTCTGTTGACTGTGGATCAGAAGCTCATAAAGAACTTTAATTTCAATATTTCTGTCACTTCTCTTAGCTCAGATAATCACAGATAGACTACATCCTCCACTTGACTATAATCTCCATGTGGGTACCCACTGAATCGTCATTTGGTGGGCACCAAATAATACTTGAATGAATGTCTTTGACAAATGACTCCAAGCCAGCCTTGTTTTTATTTCTCGAGGCAAGAGTGTAGGGGAAAGAGCATTAAACTGGAATCTCGGCCCTGCCGTTTACTTACCAGCTACACTGCCTTGGTAAAATCCCTCAGCATTTCCAGGTTTATTTCTTCAACTATAAAATGAAAAATAATATGAATTAGTGTCTTAGTCATCTAGTGCTGCTATAACAGAAATACCAAAAGTGGATGGCTTTAACAAAGAGAAGTTTATTTCCTCACAGTAAAGTAGGCTGAAAGTCCAAATTCAGGGCATCAGCTCTAGGCGAAGGCTTTCTCTCTCTGTTGGCCTTCTCATCAATCTTCCCCCGGACTAGGAGCTTCTCCGCACAGGGACCCCAGGTCCAAAGGATGCACTGTGCTCCTGGCACTGCTTTCTTAGTGGTATGAGGTCCCCCTGTCTCTCTGCTGTCTTGTCTCTTTTATGTCTCAAAAGAGATTGCCTCAAGACGCAATCCAATCTTGTAGATTGAGTCCTGCCTCACTAACACAACTGCCACTCATCCTCCCTCATTAACATCATAGAGGCGGGATTTACAACATATAGGAAAATCACACAATACCAGGAATCATGGCCCAGCCAAACTGATAACACATGTTTTTGGGGGGACATAATTCAATCCATAACACTGTCCCTGGATGTAAAAGTGCTCCATGACTGTAGAGTATAATAAAAGGGTGATTATTATTAGGTTTTTAAAATGGAATTAAAAATTTGTCAGTAAAGACTAACATTTCCAAAGATAAGAAACTAAGATACATTGGATGCTATTTTTAACGTCTAAAAAGCAAAATAATGTTCTCACACAAAATAGATTTAAATATGCTTTACACTCTGAGAGTCAACTCACCCTGTCTGTTAGGAAAGAAATTGCAAAACTATGTTTGTTTCAGAAAACAGCCTATTTTTGGATTTTGGAATTTGCTCTTAGGAGCATTATTAGAACCCTGTGGCCATTCAGGTTGTGAAAGGGTAAAGAGAACAAGGTGAATGCTTTGTTTTAAAATAAAGCCGCCCTTTCCTCTCCAAACCTCCCATTGGCTTCTAGTTCCAGCTTTGTGATCATGTTCCAGGGCTATTTCAGTAGCATCCAGCGGTGCTCCCTATTTTTAATCTTCCCCTCCTGCCTCTACCACCATCCTGCATACTGCTTCTGGACCAGTGGTTCTAGACTTTTTTTGTCCCACCATCACCTGAGAAATATGGCTACTTCCAACCCTGGTGGCGTAGTGGCTAAGAGCTACAGCTGCTAACCAAAAGACTGGCAGTTCGAATCCACCAGGTGCTCCTTGGAAACCCTATGGGCAGTTCTGCTCTGTCCTGTCCTATAGGATCGCTATGAGTCAGAATCAACTCAACGGCAATGGGGTTTTTTTTGAAACTAATAGTGGATCATTAAACCAATAGATTTCACTGAATGAGGCTGGGGAGTGGACTCATGTTTAGTATATAAAAAAGGCAAACACTTCCCTTTGATTCTGATTATTTATCTACCTTCCTCACATGTACACACATACACACATATACAGTCAGAGCCATAGAGAATCACTGGTAGATTAATCTTTCCATAACATTACATTACATTACATTGCTGCCTTATTCGGAAACTGCCAATGATTCCCCACCCCATACAGAATAACATCCAGCTTTTTCAGCCTGCCAATCGAGATGCTGTCATATTTGATCCAACTTACCTTTCTAGATTTTTCACATATTACATGACCCTCTGCTTTGGAGAGACTCATCTAATTGTCTTCAAGATATGCCTTGCATTCTCCCCAAGTTTGCATTTGCTTTTCTCCTTCACTTCAGTGTTCCTCTTTCTCTTTGCATTTCAAAATCACTACCTCTTCCATGAGGCTTCTCTTGATCACCTCAGTTAGAAGTGAGCACATCTTCACAGAAGTTCTAAGGCATTTATTGTTTGAGCCATTTCCTTGGACCTTATAGCATACCTTGTATTGTTATCAGTGTCTTCCCAGATCAGTTGTAAGCACCTAGAAAAGATAGGTCATATCTTTGCCCACAGTGCGTCATATTTAACTTGATAATCATCATCAGTAAAGGACATTCTTAGACAAGGTCTGTACATCATGAAGGAAGACCAAAAGCCCTTGGCCAGAAATTGGTAGCTTTAGGACATACTCCTGGCTCTGCCAGCTGGCTCTGTGGCCTTTAGCAAATCACTTACCTCTCAGGATCAAGTTTCTTACTCTAAAAATAATGGGTTTGGGCCAGATGAGCTCAGCTGCTAACCAAAAGGTGGGCAGTTTGAACTCATCAGCCACTCTGCGGGAGAAAGAAAGATGTGGCAGTCTGCTTCCATAAAAATTTACAGCCTTGGAAACCCTACGGGGCAGTTCTACTCTGTCCTATAGGGTCACCATCAGTCGGAATTGACTTGATGGCAGGGGTATGGGTTAAGTCTAAATACGTTTGAGCTCCGTTAGTCGTAATACGTATGATAGTAAGAACTTGGGGCCAAAACGCTTATTCTCCTTAGCTTGTACTCCTTATCTTCACTATTCCTGCTACTGCTGCTACCACCAGTATCCCTGAACTGAAGCAGAAGGCAAAATGTTAACTTTCTCTTATTTATTTTTTCCTCACTTTAGTTTTTTTTTTTTCTCTGATTCTTTTAAGCCATAAAAAAATAGCCAAATAGATATTTGCCATCTCAGCCTGTTGTCTTTTTTAGCTTAACTTCAGGGCTGTAAGTTTGGAAGAATGTTAAACAGTTCGGATCAGAGGTGGGAAGTGGCCCAGCATCAGCATCATTTGTTCCAGAGCAGTGTTTTTCAAGCTCTAATATGCATGTAGATCACCTGGAGATCTTGTTAACATGTAGATTCTGACTCAGTAGCTCTGGGAAGTGGCCTGAGATTCTGCATTTCTGACAAGTTCCCAGGTAATGCTGGGGCTGCTAGCCTCCGCATTCCACTTTGAGTAGCAAGGATCTAGGTGATAGTGAGTAGTTTGGAAGGTCCCAGAATTAAGGGTTGTGCTCATTTCATGCTCTATCAGAAAGCTGAAAGTCAAATAAGTAAGACTTGGTGGTCTTAGAGGACAACGGTCAAGCTAATTTCATGTGAAATCTTGATTAGCTTTCAGTGACACATTGATACTTTTTTACTCTGTCCAAATGACCTTCATTATGTGAAGAATGAAAAGAACCTAGCATGGGGCATGTTTCTACTATGTTCCTTTTTCAAGTTAGCAGAAGACTTGGAATGGTAAAGCAGACAGAGTGGTTCTATCAGTGGAGACCCTCTGTGCAGGGGACAGTGCTAGAGCCTTTCTTATATATTTCTCTTTCAGTCCTGAAGTTACGTAAGGAGATGACTGCAGGAGCTTAGATAGATTTATACATTGCTATAATCGGAATTACAGAACTGTTCAAGAAAATACCTCTTTTGGGTGTCTGAAATCTTGAATTTAAGAATTAATAACATGAAAGGAATAAAACATCGAAAACCCACATACTTGAGAGATTAAAACATTATTATTAGATATCTTAGTTACCTAGTACTAGGAGCCCTGGTGATGCAGTGGTTAAAGCTGCTAACCAAAAAGTCAGCAGTTCAAACCCACCAGCCATTCTGTGGGAGAAAGATGTGGCAGTCTGCTTCTGTAAAGATTCACAGCCTTGGAAACCCTATGGGACAGTTCTACTCTGTCCTGTAGGGTCACTATGAGTTGGAATCAACTTGACGGCCGTGGGTTTGGTTTGTTTTTATTTACCTAGTGCTGCCATAACAAAAATACCACAAATGGGTGACTTTAAAGAACAGAAATTTATTTTCTCAATTTTGGTGGCTAGAAGTCCAAATCAGGGCATCGGTTCTAGGGGAAGGTCTCTCCTTGTCAATAGCCCAGGATGTTCCTTGGCATTCCTTGGCTTGTAGAGAGTTCTTCACATGGTCTCTTCCCCATGTGTATGTCTCTGTGTCTGTTTTCCCTATTTACAAGACACCACTCAGAAGGGATTAGGTTTAAGATCTTCCCTACTCTGGTATGACCTTATTAACATAAAAAGAGAAAATCCTTATTTCCAAACAGGGTCACATTCACAGGTACAAGGGTCAGGATTTCAACATATGTTGTTGAAGGGCAGTCCATAAGATTATGTTTAAAGGAAATGGGAAGATTTGGGAGGGTAGATCAAATACCGTCTCCAACTTTGCCATGTTCCTATGGAAACAGTACTGTTTTGTTACATCAGCAGCTCATCCGGTATGGAACAAATGTGAGCATTAGTGAGACTCCTGTTTTCATCACGGAGCCCTGGTGGTGCAGTGGTTAACAGCTACAGTGAGCTACGGCTGCTAACCAAGAGATTGGCAGTTTGAATCCACCAGCCGCTCCTTGGAAACCCTGTGGGTCAGTTCTACCCTGTCCTGTAGGGTCTCTACGAGTCAGAATTGACTCATAGCGGCAATGGATTTGGTTTTGGTTTTTATTTCCATCACAAATTGCTAATTATACACATTCCTGCCGTCAGAGATTTGGAACTGACTGGCATTTGTTGACTATTCTTATCTTAGATCTTAATACTAAAACAATATTTCAGCTAACACATTGCAAGTAAGTTAGGAGGTGATAGAATCGTGTTTACCTCTGGAGACGGAGTGTTGATTGGGAACCTTCTGGGTGGTGGTAATACAAGTATATAAATTGGTAAAAATTCTTGAAGTTTCACACTTAAGATTAGTGTCTTTGCACACTTTATGTATATTATGCTTAATTAAAAATATTTTTAAAAATTAGTTATTTGGTATTGCAGATTTTCAAATAGCTTTCTTTTCTCTAAACCTTTTTTCTTTTTAAAAACATTTTAGCAGAATTAAACTATTTCCAGAAGCTCCAAAAAGTTGATACAACCAACTTTCAGGCCCTGGCTGCAGAGTTTGGTGGCAATCATTTTATTTCAACCTTCCAAACCCAGTCGCCACCACTTTTTTACAGGGTAAGCCTGTGGAAGGGAATGGGATTGTTTTGTTCTGTTTTGGTTTTCCCCTCATAGAAGACAATTGACCAAGTATCTGTGAGGTGCCTCCCTGCACCTAGGTAAACCATTGTCGGCTCTTTTGAAGTGTAGTGTTATCCACATTAACAGGTTATTGAGTTACCTTTGCTTCATCTTTCTCTTTTCTGGTGTGGTTCAGTCTACTCTCACTGCAAATAAGTTTCTCTTATACTGTGTTCAGGCTGGGGACCCCATTCTGACTTACTTCTCTGAGTGGTCTGTAGTAAGCCTGCTGAGACAGCCTGCAGGAGTTGGAGCTGGAGGACTCTGTGCTGAAAGCAATCCTGCAGGTGAGTCCAGGGCAGAAGTATCAGCCTTTTTCTTCAGTTTAAAATAGGCTTTCTCATTAACCATTCCCTTAATTCTTTGTGTTCTAAGGTTTTCTAGAGAGTAAAAGTACCACTTGCACTCGTTTCTTTAAGAACCTGGCAAGTAGCTGTATCTTGGATCCAGCCCTAGATGCTGCCTCTTACTATAACTTCACAGTCTTGAAGGTGGGTGTCTCCTTTTCTCTCTCTTCTCTGTCATCAATGTAAATATGAAATCAACATCTTCATGTTCCCACTGTTGGTGGGTTGTGGAAAGAGCACTGGCAACCCTACTGTCTGGAGAAAGATAAAGAATTAGGGATATATAGGCAGGATAATAGATTATCACCCTCCTGGCTAATGGGATTGGCTTGGAAAAGAGTGACATCTCTCTTTCACCAAAACTTATTGCTTTCACTGTTTAGTAGGTGAGTGGTCTTCTCAGTCCATCCAACTTCCCCACCAGCTTCACTGCCTGGCATTCTGGTGTAAGGAAAAAGTCAGGTTGAAGAAAAATCTAGTATGTTGATTCTCCCACCACTACCCGAAGCTTATTGCTAGTAATATGAAACCACAAGCTCCTGGTGATTTTATATGATATATATGCACACTCATGTTTCTTTTTTTAGGTTCCAAGAGGTATGACTGACCTGCACAATATGAAGGTGTGATGCTGTTTATCAAGAAAATATATTTCCTGTTTGCATCTGAGGCAATTTCCCTCTAGACTGTTATGATGAAAGAAAATTTGTGTGTGATGTATCAGTTACCTATAGATTTAGACCATTGTTTTCCCAAGTGTGTTCTATACAACTAGTAAGTGTCATATGAAACAAAGATTCCATATTAAATAAGTTTGGAAAACACTGGATTAAATAAAGCTAAACACTGTAAAGTAGACTTATTGGAGTCCCTGGGTGGTGTAAATGGTTAACACTCTTGGCTGCTAACCGAAAAAGTTTGGAGGTTCAAGTCCACCCAGAGAAACCTTAGAAGAAAGGCTGGTGATCTACTTCCAAAAAGTAGTCACTGATGCTGGGGAAGCCAGCACAACTTGTACAAGGCAAGGTCATGGAAGCTCCGTAGACACATCCAAACTCCCTGAGGGACTGAATTACTGGGCTGAGGGCTGTGGGGACCATGGTCTCATAGAACATCTAGCTCAACTGGCATAACACAGTTTATAAAGAAAATGTTCTGCATTCTACTTTGGTGAGTAGCGTCTGGGGTCTTAAAAGCCTGTGAGTGGCCTTCTAAGATACTCCAGTGATCTCACTCCTTTGAGGGCAAGGGAGAATGAAGAAAACTAAAGATACAAGAGAAGGATTAGTCCAAAGGACTAATGAACCACAACTACCATGGCCTCTGCCAGACTGAGTCCAGTACAACTAGATGGTGCCCGGCTACCACCACTGACTGCTCTGACAGGGATCACAATAGAGGATCCCGGACAGAGCTGGAGAAAAACATGGAACAAAATTCTAAGAAAAAACCAGACTTACTGGCCTGACAGACTGGAGAAGCCTCAAGAGTCTGGCCCCCAGGCACCCTTTTAGCTCAGTAATGAAGTCACTCCTGAGATTCACCCTTCAGCCAAAGATTAGACAGGCCCATAAAACAAAACGAGACAAAAGGGGCACACCAGCCTAGAGGGAAGGACTAGAAGGCAGGAGGGGACAGGAAAGCTGGTAGTAGGAAACCCAAGGTCGAGAAGGGAGAGTGTTGACATGTCATGGGGTTGTTAACCAATGTCATAAAACAATATGTGTACTTAAAAAGAGCAAAAACTTAGTCATTGAAAACCTGTGGAGCACAGTTCCACTCTGACACACATAGGGGCTCCTCGATTCGATTCAGAATCGACTCAACAGCAACTGATTTCTAGTCTTGGAGTCTTTAACATGCTAGAAAATGTTGTTAATATCTAATAGGGGAGTGCAGAATACAGTATTTCTAAAATTTATTTAACCATGGAATCCTTATTTTGTATCTAATAGGATCAATGTTCTGAGGAATATATTTTGAGAAGTTCTGATCTAGAATGACTTTTGAATTTAAGTTATATGCTGGTAATGGAAGGATAGAGAATTGGGAAGGTCAAGAAGGAAAAAAAACTCATTTCAGCATGATACGTAGGTGGAAGAGAAAATGCTGCTTTCGATTTTAGTTGATTTGTATCTTTTCCTTGTTCTTTCCAGGTGCCTGTAACACTTGTCTCACAGGCTAGTTCTCCTCTGTTGGCTGGAAACACTTGTCAGAATGTTGTTTCCCAGGTATGGATGCTGACCTTGGTATAGGACTTGACACTAGACTGACGGTATGTTGCTGTGCATTACCAGAGGTGCCCTGTCTTCCATTAAGTACTCGACCAACCCCACATGAGTTTTCATGTATTATCTGAAATTTACATGTCAAGAATTGAGCCCATCTGCTTCCTCCCTACCATGTTTTAATCTTTTCCATTGCCACCATACTCCGATACTTGAAGCTCAGAACATTAAAATTATTTCTGAATTCTGTTCCTTTTCTCACATGCAGTCTCTGTTTCTTACTAATTGTCTACATTTTGTTCTGTTGACACAGTATCATCTGAAAATCTGAAAAGACTGATCCTCCATTCTCTTTCTTCTAATCCATACAACCTAGAGAATTAAGTTAAAGTATTTTAAAGATTGTACTTCAGAAATTTAAGATTACCTTCAGTTGCTTGTGATTTCTATCCCTAGCTATCTTTACTCTACCCTAGACATTGCTAGAGCCAGATAAAACAGGTTTCCATTCCATGCTCACCTCTACCTCTGCTTCTGCTTGCCCTCTTCTACCCACAGTCAAAACTTATTTTTCTTCTCTTTCTTACCATAAACTCACCTCTTCCTTGAACCCTTTCAAAGAGCTCTATCCAGTCTTTGTTCTTATGTCCAGATGTAACATGAAGTGATCTTTATCTTTTCATTGTATTTGTGTTTGACATTTTTAAGATTACTTTTTTTAGTCTCCCTCACTCAGTTATAATAAAAATCCTTACAGACAGAAAATCCTCTGTCCTGTACATAATCAGTCCACTAAATACTTTTTTTATTTGTACTCTTTTTTTAAATTGTGTTTTAGGTGAAAGTTTGCAGCACAAATTAGTTTCTCATTCAACAATTTATACAAAAATTGTTTTGTGGCATTGGTCCACTAAATTTTTTTTATTAATTGATTCTTTTTTTGCATTTTAGGTGATGTATGAGATAGAGACGAATGGGACTTTTGGAATCCAGAGAGTCTCTGTCAGTTTTGAACAAACCAACCTGATTATCGAGCCAGATGCTTCCTTACAGCAACACTTCATCATTCGCTTCAGGGTTAGGGCCCTTCTCTTAGAGAGGATTGGGAGGGGAAAATACTGGGTTAGAAATAGTTCCCCTGCTTCTGAAACACATACAAAAGAGAATAGAATATGATGGCCTAGTCCAATCTGTCAATGGAAGCCTCAGCATTCAGTATTTCATTATTAAGCTGTAAGTGATAGGGATTCAACAATGTTTATTCATTAACATTTTCTCTGATTTTCTTTCTGGCCCCAAGCAAAGTAGGACTTCAATCTCAAAACTCTTTTTTAAATAGTAATTTTGAATCATAAAGTAAGCAACATTCTACAGAAATTCTTTAACTAGCTTTTCTCATATTTCTGGATATTTAGCATTTTATTCATTACCCACGTGATCTAAGTCTCCAATCTTGATCACCACTTTTGGCTTTCTTCGACTTCTTTCCTCTTTTTGAACGCAACAGAGTACAGTTTCTTCTCAGCTCTACCCTCTGGTGATCAACCAAGTTCCTAAGTGTCTCAGAATTCATTTTCAAGGCATCTGTGTGAATACATGTATATATTTTAGAGCACACCTACAACTCAATTACATTTAAATTCTTCTGCTTTCAGCCAGGTTAAACATATCCCTAAATTGATGGTAATTTTTTAGAAACAGAGTTGAGGGATCCTTGATAAATCCTTGGTTGTAATCCTTGGTAGAAATAGCATATAGTGAATTTCAATATTAAAATCACTCAATTTATTTTAATGAGTTTAAAAAAAAAACTGTATAGAAATTTCTGCAAAATGCTACACTGCAGAGGGAAGCCAGATAATTCAATGTGGCAACTTGTTACATTGCCTTAAGGAAGGGTACAAAGCCAAGTAGTAGGAGGTGGGAAAGCATGCTTTTCTCAATAATAGAATTTTATTTGTTCTTCCTGCAGTCTCTTGAGCAAAACACAGCTGCTTCCCTTCTGAGTCCTAGAAGTGGGAATCCTGGCTATATTGTTGGGAAGCCACTCTTGGCTTTAACTGGTGATGTAAGTCACTCGGTATCCTTTTTGGTCTGTTGCAACCTAATGAGAAAAGCTGCAGCTGCAAATCTTTTGGATGTTCCAATTCCTGAGGTTCCCCATATTTTAGGAATTCAGCGTTGTCTTCAGCAAACTATTAATGTATTATCTTCAGACATGCTGATGCCACCAGTGGCTTTAAAGCTTGTTAGAGTGGGTGAAGTTAAGTGTGGTGAAATGAGTTCCTTTATATGGCCTTTTGCCTTGTTTCTTTGGAAAAACAGCTTAAGAGGTTTTTCCCCTAAGCCCTGAGGAGTTACCTTTGCCCTAGTTTTCTACCCTAGAGGGTCTGTTACTTTTGCCAGGTTGACTAACATTGCCTGGGCAAGCTGTAAACAACTTGGTTTGAATCATTTTGTCTGGTCCTGGGCTATAGCCTGCCCCGTGATTGGTATGCACTTTGCAGGGATTGGTCAATATACTACGCAAATGAGCTGAGTTGTAGCCTACTATGCAAATGAAGTGTCTGTGGCCTACCAAAAGGGGATTAGTCAGTTCATGGCCCTCCATGCCTTGAAATTGACAAGGAGTTGTGTATATAAGTAACCAACCTCACAGAGGTTTTAGAGACAGAAAGAAGCAAGAAGAAGCAGAAGGAAGAAAGAAGAAGCAGAGAGAGGAGGCAAGGAACCTCCTAAAAGAGCTGTAACACGGTCAAGGGCTGTAACACTGAAGACAGCGAGAGGCCCCAATGGCATAACTAGCCGTAATAGACAGCAGGGCCAAGAAGAGCCTATCCGCAAGAGAGCTGACAGGGGCCCTGTCCTCAGTGGGCAGAGTAGCTGAGAGAGTTGTCCTGTAGTGAAGGGGTACTTTGCCTACATGCTTCCTGATCCTGATCCCTGATCTGGAGTTGTAGCCTGTTGATCCTGATCCCGAGTTATACTCTGTTCCTTAATAAACCACTTAACTGTAAGTGTATTTCATGAGTTCTGTGAGATGTTGCAGCGAATTGCCAAATCCAAATAGGGGAGGGAAGAGTGCTCAGGGGAGGGTGGCTGGTGTCAGAGATAGAGTGGTCCAGCAGCTTGGAGAATGTGGAGATCGGATATATTTGACCTCTCCCTCATAGGAATTGGCTTTGTGCTGTTCCTGGCCATTATTGCCCCTGAAGTTAGATAGGTTCTACTACTACTACTACAAGGAGCCCTGGTGGCGCAGTTTAAGTGTTTGGCTGGTAACCAAAAGGTCGGCAGTTCAAACTCACCAGCCACTCCGCAGGAGAAAGATGTGATGGTCTGCTTCTGTAAAGATTACAGCCTTGGAAACCCTATGGGGCAGTTCTACTCTGTCCTGTAGGGTCACTGAGTCGGAATCAATGCAACACAATGGGTTTTACTACTCTTCCTCCTTGTCCCATTTCACAGTAAGGATTGTGATTGATTTTTGTTTGTTAATGAGATATTTACATGCTTGCATGTGGAAAAACAATAATTGTCTCCTGGTTTTTCAATACTGAGGGAAAAACAAATTGGTGACTTAAAGGCTATTATGATGTTAATAAAAAATAAATGGTTTTAAGAGAACGAGAGCATACATTTTCCAATCCTACCTACTTTTTTTTGTGATGATCTCCTTGACTTTCATCTCAGATGACCCTCTTGCAGAGTCAGGGTGATGGAACCTGCTCTGCTAAGAGACATAGAGTACAGTTTGGAGTGAATGCAATCTCTGGATGCAAGCTCAGGTAATCCTTTGCTTCTGTATCATTTCTTAGAATTTTGTCTCTCCCTGTAGGGAATATGTGGATATTTTACATTTTAAATGGTGGTTCAGAAAATGTAATTTTAATATTGCCAGGAGTTTTCTGAAAACAGTCCTTTTATACCTCTAGGATTGTTTTCTCTAATATATTTTTTAATATTATTTATTTCTAATGTTTGGATTAATGTACTAATATGGTTATGTTATAGTGATGATGCTAAATTTACTTTCTGAAATGCCAATTATTGGACTATTTAATAGTTGATACACACTTCCATGGTATTAGCATTGGACTCCAGGCTTCATGGTGTTTAATTACAGGTTGAGGAAGGCAGACTGTAGCCACTTGCAGCAGGAGATTTATCAGATTCTTCATGGAAGGCCCAGACCAGAACATGTCGCCATTTTTGGTAACGCTGACCCAGCACAGAAAGGACAGTGGACCAGGATCCTCAGCAGGAATTGCAATGTTTTGGTAAGGAGAGAAACACGCTTTCTAACCAAAACTCATTTTAACCCTTTGTAAGTTATGGATAGTAACATTAAAACCAACCCTCTTTTCACTGATGGTGTGATTGTTATAGAAAGAAGAATATAAAAAATCATGCCCATTTCAGCTTAGGTTTATAAAATTTGAAGGTAGAAAGTCTAGAGATTGCTCTGTGATTCAAAATCACCCCTATATTTCAAACATTCTCTTATGTTCTTGAATATTCAGCAGCACATACTTCTTTTTGTGTGTGAGATTGAAATCATGGTCTTTCTGTTGTTATAAAAATAATACATTTGCAAGTTTAAAAATTCAAACTGTATGGGATGGCACTGAATGAAAAGTAAAAACCTCACACATTCCCAGCCCCAGAAGTAGCCACATTTAACTGTTTGTTTTTAGTTTACCACTGGTCCACAGCAGCTGTATCTCTTGACTCTGTTCTAAGTAAAATGAGGAAATTAGCTCTCCTATCTTGCCTGCTTCCTCTCTTGCCTATCCACGACCTCCTAACTTCAGTCAGCCAAATCGTTATTTTTATTTCTTTTAATTTAAAATTTTAAGTTATGTTTGTTTTTCTGGATAAGTAATACATACACTTGTTTAACAATCCATAGAGTACAAATTAAAAATCTCCCAGGCATCGATTCCTTTCCACAGAGACAACCAAAGTTACTTACTAGTTTCTTTCCTTCCAGAAATATTGCATGCTTACACAAGTAAATACTCTTATTTTTTTTTTTTCAGCCAAATGATAGAATATTATAAGCACTGCTCTGCACCTTGCTTTTTTCAATTGAACTTAGTTTGCTCCATATTGGTACATAATAATAATAAGCATCCTCATTCTTTTTTTTATAGTTGTATAGTATTCCATTTTACTTGTTACAATTGTCAGTTGCTGTTGAGCCAGCTCCAACTCATGACAACCTTACATATAATAGAACGAAATGTTGTCCACTCCTGCACCATCTTCATAATTTTTGGTATGTTTGAGTCCACTGTTAAGGCTACTGAGTCAATCCCTCCCATTGAGGGTTTCCCTCATTTTCATTGGCCTGCTACGTTACCAAACTTGATGTCCTTTTCTAGTAATTGGTCTTTCCTGATGATGATCCAAAGTAAGCAAGTTGAAGTCTTGCCATCTTATTTCTAAGGAACATTCTGGTTGTATTTCTTTGAAGACTGATTTGTTTGTTCTTTTGGCAGTACCATAATTTATTTAATCAGTTTTAGGTAGACACTGAGGTTGTTTTCAGTCTTTTCCTATTACAATATGCATTTTATAACCTTGTTCAGGTGCTATTTCATACATGTAAGAATAAACTGATAAGATAAATTCATAAAAGTGGAATTGTTGGATCAAAGGGTGTATGCATTTAAAATTTTAATAAATATTGCTAATTTATCCTCCATACAGATTGTCCCAATTTACAATCCCACCATCCATCTGAGACTGCTTATTACCCCATACCCTCACAAACACTGTTAATCAAACTTTTTAATCTTTGCCTATCTGTTAGGTGAAAAGGAGGTTTAGTCTGTTTTTCTCTAACTGTGAGCAAGGTTGAGTTTCTTGACATATGGTTGAGCAATTTGCATTTTCTTTCTTATCATTTCTGTATTTATGTCCTTTGCCCATTTTTATTGAATTATTGGTCTTACAACTTGTAGGAGCTCTTTATGTATCTGAGAAATTAGCTCATTTTGTGGTATGAGTTGCAAATATTTGTTTGTCATTTGTCTTTTGACTTTGCTTATGGTGTTTTTTGCCATGCATAAATTGATTTTTATGTTGTAAAATTTAGCAATTTTTTTCTTCTGGATTTTGGTTCAAACTTTGAAAGGCTATTCCCTTTAGAGATTTTTTTTTTTTTAAAGTGCCCCTCTTCTTGTCTCAGCACTAATAATAGGGGATTTTAAGAGGATTTGGAGGAATAGATAAATATATGTACTCAATTCAGCATTTGGGCATCTTGAGTCAAATTGAGTTCTTTTAAACCACAAATTTAGCCATACTTGAGGGAGGGTAGTGTGGGGTGGTATGTGGCAATGTACAGGAAGGGGAATGATTAGTGGGAAGGACTGAGATTATAATAGAACTACTCTTTATTATTCTTCAACCTGCTATTTTTAAAGCACATTTTTGAAAAATATTTGATGACATGGAAAAATGTCCATAATGTAGAATAAGGGAAAAAATGTTTAAAAACATTTGGAATAAGTACATGAAAAGATACTCAATATCACTAGTCATTAGAAAAATGAAAAACTACATTGAGATACTACTTCACCCTCACTAGGAGGACTATAATTAAAAAGATAGAAGTTAGAACTCTCATACATTTCTGGTGGGAATATAAAAATGGTGTAGTCACTTTGGAAAGTAGTAGTTCCTCAAAAAGTAAACAGAATTACCATATGACTCAGCAGTTCCACTCTTAGGCATATACCCAAGAGAAAAGAAAACATATGGCCACATAAAAACTTGTAAACAAATGTTCATACCAGCATTACTCATAGTAAGGGGAAACAATCTAAATGTCCATCAACTGATGAATGGATAATCAAAATGTGGTATATCCATACCTGGAATATTATTCAGCCATAAAAAGGAATAAAGTACTGATACATTGTACAACATGGATGAAAACAGTATGCTAAGTGAAAGAAGCCATACACAAAAGATCACATATTGTATGACTACATTTATATGAAATGTTCAGAATAGGCAAATCCATAGAGCCGGGGCAGAAGTGTCCCTGGTGGCACAACGGTTAAGCACTTGGCTGCTGATTAAAAGGTTCATGGTTCGAACCCACCCAGTGGCTCCACGAGAGAAAGTCCTGGCAATCTGCTTCAATAAAGATTACAGCCTAGGAAACCTGTGTGGCGGTTTTACTCTATCACATGGAGTTGCTATGAGTCAAAACCAACTCGACAGTACTTAACAACAGCAATAAGGGGCTAGGGAGAAGGGGGGGCAGTGGCATGACTGCTAATGGATATGAGGTTTCTTTTTGGGGTGATGAAGATGTTCTGGAATTTGATGGCGGTGCTGGTTGCACAACTTTGTAAATATACTAAAAATCATTGAACTGTATACTCGAAAGGGCGAATTTTATGGTATGTGAATTATATCACAAAAGTAAATATTTGGGCATAGTATAATTTTATGGTATGTGAATTATGTCTCAGTCAAAAAAAATAGGACATAGTAGAATTTCAATTCAATGAATGTGTATAAAATTATATATACATACCAAACTATAAATAGTGCTTGTCTCTTGGTGTTGAAACTGTGGGCAATCTTTTTTCTTTTGTGTTTTCTGTATTTTCTGCAAATGAATATGTTTTTCTTTGAAATCTCTCTCTCGTTCTCTGTCAAATTAACCCTGCTGCCTTTGCCTTAAACTATTTGCTCTGACACTTCTACCTTCAGATTTTTTAACCTATAGTCTGTCATAAATGCTGCTACCAAAGTCATGTTTTTCCACGACAGCTTTCATCTCCTCTTCTGTGGCCGTCTCACACTCCATAGTAAGCAGCAGCCCTCTCACAGTTTCAGTATCATCTTTAACAGTTCACCTAATTTTTTTCAGTTCCTCTTATTTATCTATTTCTTTCATTCAATTTAAGTAGAACTTTTCTACTGCTTCCTTACATCATATTTTCTAATTTGAACTCTCATTCCCTAGGGTTTATATTTGTTACCCCGCCACCCCAATCTTTGTCTGTCAAACATTCTTTCTCCCTGATTTCCTGATTGACTTCCTGAAGCCTTCTCCATGTGAAATGGAATTAAGTAAAGATATTTCCTCAACTCCAGAAGTGTTTCAAATATATTCTTTATGCATCTGACTTCCAAATTTATATTTCAGCCCCTGAGCTCGATACTGAATTTCCAGCTTCCCATGTTCACTTAGCTATTAGAATTCTCACTCTAGTATCCCATCATCATCATAAAATTAGCATATCTAAAATAAACCCATTATCTCCATATTAGTCCTTTTTCCAGATTTCCTTATTTCTGCTAAAGGTACCCTAGTCCATTCAGTTATGCAAGCTTTGACCTTTGGCATCATCTTTGGTTCCTTTTTTCTTCCTTAGGCTCTATATACAAATGTAAAATTTTCCCTCACTATCAGTTTTCTAAGTCTTCCCCTATTCCTAGTTAACACGTTATTGCCTGTTCTGAACCTTACTATAAAAAGTATGAAGTCAGAAAAGCACAAGGCATATTTGAGGATTGTTTGCATCTGCTAAGTTATAGTAACCTCCTGATTGATGTCCTCACGTCCACTATCTTCCCCATCAATCCTTCCTACATTTTGCAATTAATCATCCCAGAGTATACTGTGTTTCTCTTCAAAACAGACTACTTGGTTGGACTTCATAATCTAAGCCTAAAGTGTGTTCTTCTTTAACCTTTCACTTCTCCGGTGTCCAAATCCTTTGCATTAGCCAAGAAGTCTGCTCAAGGTCAGGGCTTTGCACATGCCTAGCATATGGTAGACATTCAGTAACTATTATTTAAATTAATCACTGAATATGCCTCTATGGCATCATGTACCTTTTTATATGCCATCCCTCTACCTGAATTTCTTTTTAATTCCCTTCCAGTCACACGTTCCTCATTGTGGTTCCATGAAGCACTCCCAAACCAGCAGTTGCTGTTTCTTCTTCCTGTGTTCCATGGCACTCACTATGCACCACTCACTGAAAGCTTCCTATAAATCATTTTGCATGTGCTCACATTTTATTACTCTGTGTATTAGTGATTTCCACTTTAGATAATAATTTTTTGTGATCCAGGACAATAATAGAATCTATGGCTATAAACTTTTGTGTTCTGTCTCTAAGCATGGTTGTTGTCCATTGCCTTTTCCTTATTGTATAATGTTTAGGAAGTGATGACTACTTGATACATGCTGACTGACTAAGGCAACAATCAGGCAATTCAAGCAGATGCTTCTTTACCCTTTTACAGGCTGTGAATTGTACGTCCTGCTGTTTCATACCAGTTTCCTTGGAGATCCAGGTATTGTGGGCATATATAGGCCTCCAGTCCAACCCACAGGCTCATGTGTCAGGAGCCCGATTCCTGTACCAATGCCAGTCTGTACAGGTAAGTCATGGTTCATAGTGGCCTACTAAGCCTTGCAAGGCCTTGATTGTCTGATAAGCCATTTGATACCCAGATAATTTTTTAACTTCTGAGAGCCAGTTTATACTATCAACCAATGCATGTTTAGAGTGAAGCTTACACAATTAACTTTCAACTCTATCCTCCCTGCCTGGTTACTGAAATTAGCATGTTGTCATGGTAAACACAATCTGTACAATTTTTATCCCGGGTTTTTTTTGTTTGTTTGTTTTAATCTCCTAACCCTAGACTATAACCTATTGCTGTCAAGTCAATTCTGACTCATAGCAACCCTTATAGGACAAAGTATAACTGCCGTATAGGGTTTCCAAGACTATAATCTTTATGGAAGCAGACTGCCACATCTTTCTCCTGAGGAGCAACTGGTGGGTTCGAACCGCCAACCGTTCAGTCAGCAACCAAGTGCTATCACTGCGCTATCAGGGTTCCTTACACCAGAGTATAGTAGAGGCTAATTTCTTTTAAATAAATTTTGCAGCCATTTCTATACTGATAGACTTCAACCATAGAAAACATTTTCTATAAATGTGTGTTAAACATCACAGGCATACACTTATCAGAGTCTCTGAGCCTGTTAATTGCTGTTAAAGTTACTGCTGTGGCTAGTTTCTAGTCACCAATTCTTGATCGTATGAGCTCCATAAATATAAATAATTTTTATCTGTAGTAAATACATACCTATTGTTTATGATGTGCCTTAGGACAGCTTTAGCATCTGCCTTGGCTTTAGAACCTAATTCTTAGCTTTGTAAGTTGAGAAATTTAGTATTTTCATTGTACTTAGAAATAATTAGGTCCTACAGAATTGGTTCATATATAAACCAATATGTCAGTTTATTAACTTTTAATGAAAATTAAAATGTTAAACTGATTGAAATTCTTATCCGATAGTCATTGCATTTACATCCCAGAAAAGAAACAAACTTGAGCCCATGTTTAGGTCAGAAGTAAAATAACTTTAGTTCTTCTTCACAGCAGTTCTTCTGTGCCTGTAAATGGGGTTAACACTCAAATTACCAGAAACTCTGTTAATGAGAACATTCCATTCTCTCCCTGTTGGTTTAGTGAATAAAATAGAACTATCAGAGCCCTGGTTGCATAGTGGTTAAGAGCTCAGCTGCTAACCAAAAGGTTGGCAGTTCAAATCCACTAGCCACTCCTTGGACACCCTCTGGGGCAGTTCTACTGTGTCCTATAGGTTTGCTATGAGTCGGAATCAACTCGATGACAGCGGGTTTGGTTTTTTTTGTTTTTGTTTTTTTTTTTTTAATTTCTCTAAGAATCAGTTAATCTGTTACAGATCCTGTACTGAATCCATTGTTATAGTTTTCTAAACTTTTCAAACTATATTTTTATTTTTTGCTTATGAGTTCCTGTGTTGTTTGGGAAGATACCCTGAAGACTATTCTTTTTATTTTCTCAAATCTCTGGTTCTTCTAGGCATTGAAGCTACCCAGTGCCTCTTTCTTGTCTAGAAATTTAACTGATATATTTTTCTACTATTTAGCAGAGGTTAGTTTTTAATGTTAGTTTGCTCCCTTTACAAAACCACGCCTTATAATCATTCACATCTAACTAGCCTAAGTGGATGCCAGTTAAGAGAATTTTGACTGTACTTCATTTGTGCATAATCAAAGAAACAGTACCTATTCCGATAATGAAATAAAGATTAACTGTGTTGAACTTATTGAGAGGTGGTTTGGAATATACAAATCAATGTTACTTTACAAGGGTCATATTTAAGGGATTTGCAAACATAATTTTGACTATACAAAATTTTTCACTTTATGCACTAACTTGAGAATCTCCCAAACTTTACGAAGTGTTAAAACAGAATTGTCGGTGGTAATTTCTGAAGTAAACAAAATATTAGAGCTTAAAGTAGAAATAATCAACCGTGCATAACAGAACTGGATCCATACAAAAAGAAATGTGCAGACTTAGAGATGTACCTTTTGTCTGTCTTGATAAAAGAATGAGATGACCAGACTTTGAGTGTGTTTTCTCTTTCTTCCTTTTTATGCTCTTCTTGTTGCACATGCTAAACAGTAAATTCTCTGATTTTGCCTATACATAACTTTATAGGCATAACTAGAACTTCTCTATGAGGCTATCGAGGAGCATCCAAGGATCCGCAGATTTGAGGCTGGCTTTGTGGTCACTAGTCAGTGCGATAAGCCAGAAACAGTGACAGTCTAGCATATTCCCAAGCAGCCAAACAGCAGATACATTTGTCTGGAAACAAGGACCAGGAGGTAGCAGCAAATGTCAGCAGTCAGTGCAGGCAAGATGCCAGAGTACCAGATTGGCAGTCTGACAGATGGCCAGGTGGGAGAATAGGCACAAAGACAGTTTATAGGAAAAGACAAGCAATCCAAGGCCAGGTAGTCTATGGAACCTGAAAGGACAAGGAAATAATACATTTCAGTAGTAGTAACATTGGTCAGTGAAACAGTATCTTGCCCTAGTTAATGACTATTCTTGTGGGGTGGGACCCAGTCTTGGGGGAGTTAGTTTAGGCCTTGTAGGTGAGAACAAGCAATTGGTAGTAGCTAGCTGAGGTAGAAAGCTCAATCAAAGGATGAATAGTAGTAGCACTTTAAAAAAAAAAAAATTGTATAATTCAAGTAATATATTAATACGTATTTTTAAAAGTCAAAAAAATGCCAGAAAAGGGGGAGGTTAACAAAAAATAAAGCCACTGCCACCCTACTCTCCAGAAATTACCTGTTTCTTCTGGTATTCTATTTCTAAACAATATATGTGTACTTAGTTATCTCTTGAATCATCAGTTTTAGAGATTATCTATTGACTTGCTATTTTGGTTGATGACTTAAGTTCTATTATTCTCTCCTTACCCCTCCTACCCCACTGAAACTTGCTCTTGAATGTACAGTAGCTAAAGTGAATGGAAGAAATAACGAAGTAAAAGAGCTGAACAGAAAATTTAAAAGGGTGGCTTAAGAAGACAAAGTAAACTGTTATAATGAAATGTGCAAAGACCTGGAGTTAGAAAACCAAAAGGGAAGAATACAGTCAGCATTTCTCAAGCTGAAAGAACTGAAGAAAAAATTCAAGCCTTCAGTTGCAGTATTGAAAGATTCTATGGGCAAAATGTTGATCAGAGCTGGAAGATTCAAAAGAAAGTGGAAGAAATACACAGAGTCACTACACCAAACAGAATTGGTCAGTGTTCAGCCATTTCAGGAGGTAGCATATGATCAAGAACCAATGGTACTGAAGGAAGAAGTCCAAGCTGCACTGAAGGCATTGGTGAAAAACAAGACTCCAGGAATTGACTGAATGCCAACTGAGATGTTTCAACAAATGGATGCTACGCTGAAAGTGCTTACTCGTCTATGCCAAAAAATTTGGAAGACAGCTACCTGGCCAACTGACTGAAAGAGATACATATACAGGCCCATTCCAAAGAAGGGTGATCCAAAGGGGTGCAAAATTAATGAACAGTATCACTAATACCAAACACATGTAAAATTTTGCTGAAGATGATTCAAAAATGATTGCAGCAGTACATCGACAGGGAACTGCCAGAAATTCAAGCCAGATTCAGAAGAGGACGTGGAACAAAGGAGATCATTGCCGATGTCAGAAGGATCCTGGCTGAAAGCAGAGAATACCAGAAAGATCTTTACCTGTGTTTTATTGACTATGCAAAAGCATTCAACTATGTGGATCATGACAAATTATGGGTAACATTGGGAAGAATGGGAATTCCAGAACATTTAACTGTGCTCATGAGGAACATGTACATAGACCAAGAGGCAGTTGTTCGAACAGAACAAGGGGATACTTCGTGATTTAAAGTCAAGACAGGTGTGTGTTAGGGTTGTATCCTTTCACCATACTTATTCACTCTGTATGCTGAGCGCATAATCCAAAAAGTTAGACTATATGAAGAAGAATGAGGCATTGGAGGAAGACTCATTAACAACCTTTGATATGCAGATGACACAACCTGGCTTGCTGAAAGTGAAGAGGACTTGAGGCCCTTTGTGATGAAGATCAAAGACCACAGCCTTCAGTATGGATTGCACCTCAACATAAAGAAAACAAAAATCTTCTCAACTGGACCAGTAAGCAACATCATGATAAACAGAGAAAATACTAACGTTATGAAGAATTTCGTTTTACTTGGATCCACAATCAACAGCCATGGAAGCAGCAGTTAAGAAATCAAACGACATATTGATTGCAGTTGGCAAATCTGCTGCAAAAAACCTCTTTAAAGTGTTAAAAAACCAAAGATGTCACTTTGAGAACTAAGGTGCCCCTGACGCAAGCCATGGTATTTTCAGTCACCTCATATGCATGTGAAAGTTGGACAGTGAATAAGGAAGACCAAAGAAGAATTGATGCCTTTGAATAATGCTGTTGGCAAAGAATATCAAATATACCTTCCACTTCCAGAAGAATAAACAAATCTGTCTTGGAAGAAGCACAGCCAGAATGCTCCTCAGAAGTGAGGATGATGAGACTTCATCTCACTTACTTTGGACATGTTCTCAGGAGGGACCAGTCCCTGGAGAAGGACATCATGCTTGGGAAAGCAGGAGGTCAGCAAAACAGAAGACCCTCAATGAGATGGATTGACACAGTGGCTTCAACAATGGGCTCAAACATAGCAACAATTGTGAGGATGGCACAGGACCAGGCAGTGTTTCGTTCTGTTGTACCTAGGGTCGCTATGAATCTGAGCTGACTCGACAGCACCTAAAAACAACCTAACACCCCTCCTACCACCTTCCCAATGTAGTTATATCAAAATATTTCATTAAATCAATATTCATTGTTTCATTATTATGGTTAGATAACTATCATGCTGAGCCAAGTACCGGTAGTCTCCAACTTATGACAGGGTTCAGTTCCAGTGACTCATCGTAAGTTCTTTTAGTTTTCATTATTATCGCCTTTTATTATCACTGTCTTTATAAATTCAATCCTTATTTGCCTTTGGAGGTTGGAAACATTACATATAAACTTAAAGATATATTTTAATACATACATACATATTACTAACAATACGATGTACCAAAAAAATAGGACAGTTGTAAGTGCAGTTTGTTGTAACTCGAATACATCATAAGTCGGAAACCACCTGTAGTGCCTTTTTTGTAAAATCTTTTATATTTTCTGAAATTAAAAATTACATCATCTTTACTTTCTTTAGCTTTCTTTGAGCTTATGGTTAAGACCTCCCGCACCCACCAACAGCTCTGTAAAATTTCTCTCAATGCAGTTTTCCAAGTCAAACTTGCCATATAGTCTATCAGTTCTACTATTTTCTGGTATTTTCTTCATGGAAACCTCTATAACCTGATGTAATATAGACTGGTTGCTGCCCAGTTATTGTCATAGAATGTCCTTTGCTGTCATCTTGGGAGCTCCTCTTCTTTCTTGCGTTATATTCACTGGACACTACTACTTTTTGCGGGGGGAAGATTATCTCTTGTTTTGATGGAGCTCGACTTCTAGTAACCTCTTGAAAAAAAGGTGCATGGAAACTACTTTTTTTTTTCTTTTTTCACATTTCTCAGGATAACTTTTTTCAATCATCATAATCGTCATCATGCTTGATTGATAGTTTGACTAGATGTAAAATTCTAGGTTGAAAATGGTTTTCACTCACAATTTTGAAGGCGTTCTTTCATTGTCTTCTAGTTTCCATTACTGTTGTTCAGAAGCCATTCTAAGATCTTCTTTTTATTCCTAGTGGTGTGAAGTTTCCATAATATTGTGCCTTGGATGGTTCTTTTTTTCATTCATTATAGTGGATAATTAGTGGGCTTCTTTACTCTGAAAACTCAGTTATGAGAAGTTTCTATTATTATTATATGTTTGATAGTTTCCTCCCCACTATATTCTCTGTTCTCCCTTTTGTAACTCCTATTAATCTGTTATAGGGGCACTATTAGATTGATCCTCTAATTTTTTTTTTCTCTCCTATTGGCCATCTCTTTATCTTTTTGTTCTTTCTAGAAGAGTTTCTCAGCCTTCTAACCTGTTACTGAATTTGTTTTGACTATCATATTTTTAATATCTAAGAGCTCTTTCTTATTCTCTGAATGTTTCTTTTCCTAGTATCCTTTTCCTATAAATGTTTGAAGATATTAACTTTTCTTCACCTTTCACTGTCTCCTTTTTCCTCTGAGTTTCTTTATTCTCTTCATTTGGTTCCATTTCTCTCTTTATCGTGAGATGCTTTCCTTACATGTCTGACAATCTCTAGCTGTCTATCCAAATTTAAGAGTAAGCTATTGAGCTGGCTGAAAGCTCTGTGATCATGGGTAGGACTTACTGATTGATGGCCTTCACTGTCAGGCACTTGGGTACAGTTGCTTTTGGGGTTGTGGAACTGCCAAATGTGAGTATCTCTGTCTTTTTTTGCTGGGACTGTTAATTTCCTCTAGCAAGGGATCCTCCAGATTCCTGACTAAAGGGTATGCACATAAGACCATCTGCTAATATTTTGGAGCTTGATGAAGGAAGGAATTTCATTATACAGATTAGTCCACCTCTTTTTAGTTCATACTTCACTCTGCCCTTTGCTATGCCTGATGTCCCTAAGTCCAGAATTCCTCTGGTTTAAATTATCCAGTTTCTTGTTGAGGTGAAGGAAGGGTAGTTGTCTGGTTGCATTGGGGGTGGTGTTTATCATTCAGTACCAGTTTTCTGCCCCCACCTCATCCTTGCCTCCCTATTGTCTCCTATTACTGAGTCTCTCCAGGGTTCGACAGTGTAGATCTACTTGCTTCTAGTCTCTGAAAGCTTTTAGATTTGATCTTTCCCGCTGGAAACGCTTCCATTTGGTTTCTGTTTTCACATATTCTGATGTCTCTGCATTTTAGTGAAGATGGAGTTTTTGTATCTGTTGTTGGATTAGAGTGATTTTTGAGATCCACAGGGAGAAGACCTGAAGTCTAGTAGTAGCTCTTGATAAGCACATATCCTAGGTGAGTTTGAAAGAACAACTCTGTTCAAAGAACTTTTGTCATTTGGAGTTTCCCAGGCACTGAAACTCCAGCATAGGCTTAAAAATATATACTTGAGCAGACATGGGCCCAAAGATTGCCTTCTTGGACTCATAGCTACCTTAGAGATCAGTTCTAGATATGGCTGACCTCAAGTCTCCAGAAATTCTGATTTGGGGAGTTTGAGGGGGCTAATGACACTCCTCTTTTCCCCACCTGAGTTTGAAACCAACTAAAAGGAGTCAGGCAGAGATAAAAATGTTAGCTTTATTACTCATAAATGCTAGGTTGAAGGATGTGGCTTGGGTGTGCAACAATGGGTTTCATAATGCAATACTATATTCTTCCATCATAAGGCCACTACCCTAATTCCAACCGCACCTTCCTTGAGTTTCTTCTTTGGACTGCTGGTGGGCAGTTTAGAATCTGCCTTCTCCCCAAAAGCTCTGAATTTAGAATAACACAATAATTAAATCAACTCCTGGGCAACACTGAACCCAAAGCTAAAAATCCATCCCCTATTTTATTTCCCATCCCAAAGTATGACTAGCCACCCTGACCAGTATAGCTCATCAAGTATTTTGCAATGAGATTAAATGAAATATTAACATGCTTCAATAATGTAAACTACAAAGATTTGCTCCAAAAATTGAATGTAAGTCCTTTCCCCATTATGAAGTTCCTGGGGAAAATGTTAAGACCTAGGAGTAAATAGTCCTGTAAGTTAAAGTCCAAAAGTATTAAGGTAAAGCGCAAAATCAAATATTTTTGCCTTGTAAGTTAAAGTCCAAGTAAAGTCCAAAATTGGTAAGTAATAAACTCCTCTCCATTTTCTTTGGTTAGTTTCATATTTCTGTCTGCAATTTAAGAAAGAATAGAACTGCCCTTACTACTTCTGTTTGCACTGAAATGTGTACTGTTCCAGAGCCTGGAGCCTTCTGGGACCTGGTAAGGTAGAAATGCTAAGCACATAACAGCAGCAGTTTTATCATCTGGCATCTCTGATATCAGGTACCTCTCCAACTGGAGAAAGCTAGTCAGTCTTTAGGTAGGTGTAACTGTTCTCAGTTCTCATGGACTGTTGCTAAGAAATTCCTTTCCCTGTCTCTCATCAAATAGACCTACATAGGACCAATATGATAAAAAGGTATATCTTGCTTAGAGCAATTTGTTTTTCAGTCTTTCTTCAGAGAAATAGTAATAATGAGAGCCAGGGTGGAGGGCTACATGAATGGGTACCAAGCTCTGACCTGTCATTGACCTTTTTCCGCCTCAGGATTCCCAGCTACGCACAGAAGTATCTTTGACAACTCTTGTGACCTTTGTGGACATTACTCAGAAGCCAGAGCCTCCGAGGGGCCAGCCCAGAATGGACTGGAAATTGCCATTCGACTTCTTCTTTCCCTTCAAAGTGGCATTCAGCAGAGGAGTAGACTCTCAAAAAGGCTCAGTCTTTCCCATCCTTATACTGTGTCTCTTACTACTTGGGGTTCTCAGCCTAGACACTAAGTGAAGAAAGGAGAAAACTCACTTCAATTCTCCCCATGGGAAGCTCTGAGGTAGCCTACTTATCATGGCTAAACAGATTCTCACCTGCTCGTTAGCTGAGGCGAGCATTTAAGAAAATAGAAGATCTAAAGGAAGGAATCTTTGTAGGAGGTATTTAGAAAAGCAGTAAAAGTACTTTATTCTTTATGGGTCTCTGCTTAGGGCTCTTCAGGCCAGCAGCAGTGCATCTTCTCAACCAGGGAAGACAAAGAGCCCTTCCTCCAGCCCTTCCAGTTGTGTTGTACCTGACTAAAGGTTTGGCATGTCTTCATCCATCTGCTCACAGGCACACTCGGGCCCTGCACAAAAAGGAACATGTTCATGCTGCCAGGCAGGGTGAGCTCCGGAATAGCTGCCCTCTGGACCTGAGAGAAGCTGACTATTCAGAACTGAAAACTGTTGGCTATGTATTTTGTCTGGCTCTTCGCCACGCCCTGGGCCATACCCTTTACCCAGGCATGAGTGGAAACAGCAATTCTTTTTCCTCAGTTTCCAAACAAATGTGGAGTGGAATCCCAGCCCTCTTTTCTACTGGCAAACCACCCTACCACCAATTTCTGCTCTTTCCTTCCCTCCATTGTGGTGAGGAGAAGTAAAACTGATAGAGAGCTCTTTGTACTAATTGCAGCAGCATAGTAGAAGTCAACTTGGTCTGTCTTGTGATAATTTTGGTGTGCGTGAGGTTAAAAAAAGAGAAAACTTTCATAAGTAATACAGTAGCATTCAAATCTGGGGACCTAGGTTCTTTTTCTGGGAAGTACATTCTGAAGGCCCCAGTTATATGGCACTGACATTAGTGAGTTCAGTGAGAAATCTTATTTTGCATAAGATAAAAGCAGCTTACAAAGGGCAATGCAGGGAGGCATGGTTGGGCCCTGCTTGCGTGGCCAGTTCAGAGATTGGCTTGCAGAGGAAACTACTTTAAAAGGTAGTTTCCTGTAGTCATTCTTTGGTGGAGAGGAATTGGTTGGGAAATATAACAGAAAAATTGGAAAGCAGGAAGTGTAAAAAGACTTAGGCCTTGTTATGGATTGAATTGTGTCGTCAAAAATATCTGTTGTAAACCCTAACCCCCACACTATGTGGATATAATCCCATATGGAAATAGGGTTTTCTTTGTTATGGTAATGAGGCTGTATCAGTATAGCATGTGTCTTAAGCCAATCACTTTTTTTTTCCATTGCAGTATTTTTATTTTTTAAATTTTTGTTGTTGAGAAAATACACAGCAGAGCATGCACCAATTCAACAATTTCTACATGTACAATTCAGTGACGTGGGTTACATTCTTCAAGTTGTGCAACCATTCTCACCCTCCTTTTCCGAGTTGTTCCTCCCTCATTAACATAAACTCATTACCCCCTAAATTTTCTATCTAATCTTTCGAGTTGCTGTTATCAATTGGATCCCATATATATAGACCTTAGAAGGGCACAGTGCTCAAGGCAGACATTCTTTACTAGTTACACTAAACTATTGTTTGGTTTTGAGAAGAGTTTAGGGGATATTTTTGGTTTAAAGATTATCTCAGGGCAATAGTTTCAGGGGTCTGTCCAGCCTCCATGTTTCCATTTCCTCCTCCTATTCTTGACTCGCCTTCCTCTGTTGCTCCGGACAAATAGAAACTAATTGTTGTGCCTTGGATGGCTGCCTGTAAGCTTTTAAGACCCCAGGCACTATGCAACAAAGTAGGAGGTAGAACAGAAGCACTAAACATTATTTAGGCCAATTAACTGGGTTGTCCCTTGAAACCATGACCTTAAACCTCCAAACCAAGGAACCAAATTCTGTGAGGTGTTTGGCTGTATATAAGCAGGCTCAGCAGCTACTTTGTTTTTTGGTTGTTGTAAATACATCACATGACTTTTGCCAGTTCAACTTTTTACAGGTGTACAACTTAATTGACAGCAATTACATTAATGGCTGTGCAACCCTACCCTTAATGTGATTTTTCCATCACCTTAAACCAAAACTTGGTATTCCATAAGCAATAAACCTTTCCCTCTCCCCTTCCCTCCCACCCCTGGTAACCAAGTACTAATAAACTTTGGTCTCTATACATTTACATGTTGTTGTCTTTTTATATAAGTGAAGGCATACAATATTTGTCCTTTCGTGATTGACTTATTTCACTCACCGTAATGTCTTCAAGCTCCATCATACTTAGCATGTATCAAGCCTTCATTTCACTTACTGGCTGAGCAGTATTCCTTTGTATGTATGTACCACATTTTATTTATTCATCTGTTGATTAAGCCAATCATTTTTGAGGTATAAAAGGAGCAGCTTAGGCACAGAAGGAAGCACAGATGCAGAAAGATAGATGCCATGCCACATGAAAATCACCAAGGAACCAGCAACAGAAGCTGAAAAGAGAAAAAGAGCTTCCCTCACGGCCGATAGAAAGCCTTCCTCTAGAGCCAGCGCCCTGAATTTGGACTTCTAGCCTCCTAAACTGAGAAAATAAATTTCTGTTCATTAAAGCCATGCATGTGTGCTATTTCTTTTATAGCAGCGCTAGATAACTAAGACAGGACTAGAGCAGAATCAGGAGCCCTGGGGGTGCAGTGTTTAAGAGCTACGGTGAGCTATGGCTGCAAACCAAAAGGTCAGCAGTTTGAATCTATCAGCCGCTCCTTAGAAACACTATGGGGCAGTTCTGCTCTGTCTTATAGGGTCACTATGAGTTGGAATCAACAGCAATGGGTTGGGTTTTTTTTTTTTGGTTTGTAATTAAAAGTTTGATGGAAAGTAAGTCACTAAATTTGTTTTAAAATGTTAAATCTCTTCTAAAAATAACAGAATTTGACTCCAGCAAAAATAGTATTGAACACCTACTCTTTGTGAAATACGGAATTATAAGCTATAACCCCTCAGCAAGCTGACAATTTAGTGGGGGAAGATTGACATATGACACAGTAGAAGAATAAAAAACCAGTTACCATCAAGTCGATTCTGACCCATGGTGACCCCACGTGTGTCAGAGTAGAACTGTCTTTCATAGGGTTTTCAATGGCTGATTTTTCGGAAGTAGATCACCAGACCTTTCTTCCGAGACGCCTCTGGGCGAACTGAAACCTCCAACCTTTCTGTTAGCAGCCAAGCACATTAACTGTCTGCACCACTAAGGGACTGCAAAGAATTAAGTAGGTAGTGCTAAAGAATAAGAAATAAATACCTGTTCATAATTAGCTTGGTTATTGACCCTGAACTGTTCCATCTTACCAAACATGATGTCCTGTTCTAGTGATTGGTCTTTCCTGATGATGTGTCCAAAGTAAGCAAGACGAAGTCTCACCATCCTTGCTTCTAAGGATATGGTCATCTTATCTCCTTGTAACAGATCTTCAAAATGATTCTTTTTCATTTGAATGATTGATAAACACTAGGTTCTCTACTTAATCTCCCTTAAAATTTTTTTAAACCATCTCTAGAACAAGGCAGTCTTCTTAGTTCCCTTCCTTTAAGGACTCTATATTGTAATCATTCAGACTCTACATTGTAATCATTCGATCTACTTCTGAAAAATCAGCCATTGAAAGCCATGGAGCACGGTTTTATTCTGACATACACATGGGGTTGCCTTGAGTTGGAATTGACTCAACAGCAACTAGTACCGTAATCATGTATTCAGTTTAAGCAGAAAGTTTTACTATAAAGGAGTATGTACAATTTGGATAGAATGAAATTGAAATCCTGACTGGCTCACTGTAGGTGTGGAGAAACAGGTACTCTCATATACTTTCAGTGGGAATGTAAACTGGTAAAAACTTAGAAGGATAGGTAGCTATTTAATAATAATGTATCAAAAGCCTTAAAAATGTTCATAAATTTAGACCTAACAAGTCCACTTATAAGCTATTAACCAAGGGAAAAAAAATGTCCAGCAATAGGGGATTAGATTATAGTGTGTATACTCATAAATTAGAATATTCTGCAACCGTTGAAAATTGTGTTGGATCTACATGTATTGTCATTGGAAAATATTCATGATCTATTTTTAAGTAAAAAAAAAAGTCTACAAAATAGTGCATCTACTCTGTAATCCTATTTTTGTAAAAAAGTATTTATACATGTGTACTTAGGCAAGCAATAAGTCTGGAAGCCTACATGCCAAAAATGGGGCTTTTTTTTTTAAAATAATGAACATCTTTGATTTTTATAATCAGAAAAAATAAAGCTATTTATATCTTGAAGAAAATAGGTATTTGCTCTCCAAAAAAATCACCCTGTTTATTGTATGTAGAAATGTTCCGTATTTATAACTTCCCTTTTCTATTAATCTATTTGTTTGTTTGGCATTCTAGGCCTATCTTTTAAAGCAGTGGTTCTCAAATGCCAGTCACATCGTAACCTTCCAGGATGCTTTATAAAAATGCTGTTTCCTGGGCCCTGCTCCCAGAGATTCTGATTCACTGGTGAGAGGAGGGCCTTGGGGCGGGGGGGGGGACTCTGAGAAACTTTTTTTTTTAAAACATTCCTGGTGTTTCTGATGTGCAGCCTGATTTGTGGAACCATAGAGTGATGTTGCATATTGTTAGTTGCCATTGGGTGGGCTCTGAGTCACGGCGATCTTATGTGTAACAGAATGAAATGTTGCCCAGTCCTGTGCCATTTTCATGGTCGTTGGTGTGTTTGCAGTTATTATGTCAATCCATGTCACTGACGGTTTCCCTCATTTTCATTGAAACTGATTTCATTTAAGTGCTTTTCCCATTATTAACAACTCATATAATATGCCCACCTGCCCAGTCTAGTCCCTCTTGTCTTAGAATTCCCATCACTCAGAGCTCTACTGCAGGGGCGGGCCCAGCCTCCTTGTTCTCATTACATGCATGACCCTCCTCTCCCAGCCACAGCAGATGTGCAGAGAAGCAGAAGAAACCCAGAGATCCCCAAAGTCCATCAAATGGGGAAAAGACAGTCTTTTTAACAAATGGTGCTGGCAAAACTGGATATCCATTTGCAGAAAAATGTAACAGGACCCATACCTCACACCGTATACAAAAAC